CAAATTCAAACATTCCGACATGAGGGAGGTCAGAGGTATAGCGACTGCACCAGCCACGAAGGCGAAGAAGGACGTCGTGTCCGCTGTGGCCTTCTGCAAGACAAGGCGTGAATGGTGTAGTGGTGGTGGCGATGGCAACGTTGTTGTCTGGGGCATGGGAACCTGAACAGGGGAGATTCCTGATTTCAGCATTTGTGATACCCGCGTAGAAGCATACAGCGAGAAGCACTCCGGTCTTCGAAAATAACACGTTCTCGAGATTTGGACACGACTGCAATGTTCATAATAACCATGGACGATCGTGCTTCATCTGGCCTGCACATCTAATTCTGTTTTCTTCTCGCAAGAATGTGCACGGTTTGAAGCTAGGGAGCGTGGTAATAGACGGAAATCGTCATGTTCAATAAACGTATTTAGCTAACTAAATAATGGGTAACATGATGATGATTGACAATCTGTAAAAGAAACACACGATAGTGTGACGCATAGCTGTTCAGATACCCCCCACAAGCAACAAGCAAGAAGAGTGGAAAGTGAACAAACGATACAGGGTTGGGAAATGGCTGCGTGGGTCGTAAAGACGATAAGAGTTCGACATAGTCCGGTTATTGCAAACGGCGTCATATCCAGAACACGAGCTAGAGTGGGTTGCATGTCGTGACAAGGGCGATGTAGGATGTATAAGACTCAAGTGCCAGTAGGATTGCAAGGCTGGGCCAGTGTACTGCTTGAACTGGGTTCGGCTTTGGCACATCAAGGATGTGGCTAATTAGCGTTCATCTCTACTTGTAGTACTTGGCGTTTTCGTAGACCTGCATATCCCTTGGTGTTGTTGGTGGACAGGTATAGACGGTCACAATTACGCCTCTGCGCTCTTGACCTAGACACGAAATCAGTTAACACCACAAATGACTTAACTTGACTTACGGCCGTGTGGCATACCGTACGTCTGCCACTCCCCGTTTCTCAGCATGATAGGAAGCACGTGTGACATCTGTTCCGGGACCATGGCGAAGGCGATGAGGGCGAGGAAGATGGCAAGCTCTCCTTTGAGACCGGCATGTTGTTCAGACGGCGTCATTGATGCAGATTGCCAGTATATATCCGGAAGCAGCATTCCCAACCATTGTTGATTCGCACGTCGGCAATATACCGTACGATTCGAGGACGCGTTGCACAGATACGATGAGTAGTCTGTGCCGTGATCGAACTTGAGAGTCTGCCAGGCCTCGTCCTTCGGTGGATTTGTTGCATCTCCTCGCAAGACCGTGAAACCTAAACCGCCGGTATAGAAGACCGAGTAGGTTTGATAGTATGCTGTGCCTTGGGGAAACTGTAACGAGTACTCTCCGATGTTATAGCCGTCACAAGACCACCATTTCTCCGACACGCCGCCGTTCACTCGGACATTGGCTCCCGGAACTACCGAGGGTGTCTCGTAGCGTCCGCCGTTGCTGACTGTGATGGCGGCGTTTGGGTTTTCGCGTACTTCCTCGATACGAAAGAAGTAGGATGGCTAAGGTTTGGTCAGACTGCAAGATCATCAAGTTCGGTAGCGGATACATCACTGACCATGGCGTATCTTGGTATTGCGCCTCTGCGCAACGAACCCTTGTGGAATGTCGTAATACTCCTGCTTGTGATTTGGTGCTCTCGCCCTGCTCCAGACCATTACAGCCCCTCACTCGACACGTCTTTATCCTTCTCATCGCCATGCGGCTCTGCGTTTAGCGACTTGAAAGTAACAGCATCCCAGTCAAGAGGTCAGGCGACAAGCTCCTACATGGCAGCAGTGCGGGACGGAATGTCTGATTGACGGCCAAGATTACGGAGCAGCCCTCTGATAAGCTAGAGATGCCCTGAAAGGGGCATGGCGCAAGATCCTGCATCGGCTGCAGCAGACGTATACGTGGGCCAAAGGTAATCAGCCCAGATTCCCTTACCCCGCTGTGGACTTTTCCATTCCCTGGTCGATGATCTATGTCGTTGTATAGCTGCCTCGGTTTTTCCGGGGGGACGGTATGGGCAAGCAGCATCTGCATGTCTTGTGTCGTGTTTCCTGTCCTTCGAAGACTGTGCTCTGTAAGAATGGAATCTTGCCATGACAGCATCATGATAGCAGTAGTGGTTCGGTAGCTGTTGGCCTTCAGCTGCATCTCAGCAAAAAGCATCGGTGTCAACCGGCCGTGGATCGCGCCCAACGTGTCCCATCGCCTGCAGCATAACAGCCGGTCTGAACCGGCGAGCCAACAAGATGGAGTGGCACAGCGCCAATCCAAGAGAGATCAAGGGTGGATCCCTCCTAGCGAAGCGCCTTGTGTGTGCCGTCCGTTGCACGGCACTTGTTGCGAAACAGTGGAAGAGCCATCTGTCGAACAGTCTAGCCGAGAGACGTGGTCAAAGCCTGGTTTATGTTGATCCTATGGCTGCAACGTGAAGAATGTGTCGTATTCGCGAAGATGTTGCGGCCACATGCACTGCGATTGCCACCAGAATTGTTGTGTCTTGCTTGTGGGTGAGTGGAACATCGCTTCGCAGATCAAGTATGAGTAGGGCTGAATAATGTTGTGTCGTCAACTATGAATGCTTTTTCCCATATGGTCAAACCATTGCCGCCATAAGATGTGCATGTATCTTGGGACAAAGATCCGAGAGGTGCGGCTCTGCGAGAAAGAGGGGTTATAAAGCCGGCGTACGGACATTGTGGACCAACGTTCCTCGTTGGGCGCGTATTGTATTGATCGGCCGGCAAGCGTCTCCGACTCTTTGTGCCCGTTCGGCGGCTATTTGAAGCGACATCTAGAAGTTGGTACAAAATACGTCTCGAGTAAGTAGAACGGAGCGGCTCCCGATGTATGAAGGGCGAGTGTGTCTTAAGTAGAAACGAACCGGCTGACAGACTAGGCGTGCGGCCCCAAGACGACCGGAGGACCTTTTTCTGCCTGTTCGCCTTCTTTCCTCACATTCAAGTATGCCTGATGCTCTTCATTGGTGAGCTTTTTAAAGAAATTGCCGCTAATGTGCAATGGATAAGTACCCCTTACCTAAATGGCGGCAACAACCTGCTGATCGAAGCAGATGGTTCCTGCAACCTGCATGATCGTGGAACTTTCTTCACCGGACGACGACCCTTGTCGTCTCGTGTGTTCGCCCGACAGCAACGCAAACTGGCGGGAATTACGAACAAGCACTCACCGGTTGACATGGCGGCCCAGGCACACGGGATGAACTTGCCACGATAGAAGTCATGCGCACCTTGAAGGCTCAACTCCCAATCAACAGACTTACTGCTTGTATGAACCGCACGGAACGGAGCGCTCTCCATCGAATCGAACCCCACTGCCGCGCCCAGCGGCTACTGTCAAATCCGGAAGCCGGTCAGATAAGGCAAACTGACAATATGACCCCGCACCGAAGCCTCGGGCTTCTGAGCGGATACCGCAAAGTAACAGTCAAGGCGGCGTGGCCGAAAGAGGGGCGTATCACAGCGTGCGCGGCTTTGATGTCCTGGTGGAGAGGCAATTCGATCGGAATCCTGACACTATACAGGCCTCAACAAAGAAGATGCGCTCACATCAGGGTGGTCTTGTCTCGATATTGGCATAGAGCACATGAACAGGAGCTGTTTGGTGGTAGTCCATGACACATGCGGCACAGGTAAGGTCATGTCTGATCTGAGATGCATTAATGGCCAGACAACGACTGACTTAGTCGGTAGCAGTATCCCGAGTGGCTCGAACCGCGATGAATTGGTCATCGAGAGCCCAGAAAGCAAGCATCCATTGGCTAGGACCAGAACGCCGCTCCTAGACGCCTTTTGCAGGAGTAAGATCTGGTCTATGGCGGGCCAAACTGACGAGACGGGCCATTGGCGCCGCGATCGCGAACCTATGGAGCAACCTGCCAAGAGATCACCGGCGGTACGAGATGGACTCGAGGAAGTCGAATGATAGCTCAGCCGAGCCGAGATTGGTCTCCATAATGGCCCCGACCATGAGGTAAGGGTTTGGACACCTTATCCGGTTCTGCGGCATGCGATGGTGGCAAGCAACCGTCGGGACCTGGCGGTACCCGGGCTTTGGTCCGAGGTATACATGACCTAGATGCTTCTACGCCGTATGCTGGCTCCCGTCACATTCGGATCAGGCTTCTTTCATGTCGCCTGAGTTTTAGCAAGTCTCCACCAGTATTGCGATGCTTGCCCATGCCGTCAAAGGCTCAAGAGCTCGAGTAGGCGCGTCGGTACGGCAGTGTGGGAGAGAAGCGTGTACGAATGGAGAGGCCCTGCAGGCATCGGTATGGACCCAGCCGCTAGGACGCGTAGGAATGCAAGTAGCGCGTCGGTCGGGGAAGGCACGGCGCCTGGCTGCAGGAACAGCCATGGACAGGAGCGTCAAGTATGACGGTGGATGAGCAATAGGTGTAGGAGGCTGAATTCAGGGCAAGACATGAGGTCTGACGCTCCAGGGCTGGGATGAAGTCTGGTACCGGCTGCGGAAGCTAAGGCAAAGACGCGGTCTTTCCTCCTGGCGATTCGGACACATCGCCGCCCGACCAATCACGACCCACCCGCACCACGTCAATTGTCTGCCTGAAAGTGGCCCGCACGACGGCAGACTGTGCTCCGGACATTGGCAGTTCAGGGCAATGTCCTAGCAACTCGCTATCGCGGTTGAGAATGACGGCGAGTACGCCACCCAGTCTCTTCGTCCGATGAACGTGGTCCTAGCTCTGGCAGAAGGGGAGTTTCGCGTTGGTTTTGCAAAGCTGACTCTACACAGGAGAGCTCACAATGACGGCAATTATCACGTCCAGAGAAAATGTTGTATTGTTCCGGATGTGTACTGAGGAGAGTCCGTTCTAGCCTTGATACCAAGTCGCGAGCCACTCGTCTTCAAACCAAACAAGGGCGTGTATACGATAGGCGGAAACTGCTATTTGCCCCCCGGGTCTATCATTCGCTCTATTCACAGCAGACGACGCCTCTCAAGCCTTCGGCTCTATAGGATAATGCAGAAACTGCAATCCTTCTCGTTCATCTTTGCTGCGGCCATGTTGCGCGGAATCTTGAGCCTGGCTTGAAGTCAGCGTGGTCATCGATGCAGTTTGCCTGAAAGTCTCACGAGTAAACCATATGTCCAACCAACACGTCCTTACACCCGCCAACCAACGTCTCGATATCGCGCCTGGTTTGCTCAGACTCTTGAGCATGCGCCTTCACAAGTCGGGTCTCTGCCTCCAACAGCCTCGCCCAGCTCTCCTCCACCATCTTCACACATCGATCGACGGCAACCTGCGCACTACATCCCTCGTTCCATACCATCACCGGGATGGCAGAATCGATATCGCCGTCGTCTATCTCCTTCCGCAAGCTCACGATGTCGTTCCAGAGGAAGTCGGAGATGGCTACTTCGCGCGTTATGGCTACTACAGCTTCGTGTTTCCAGATCGACGGTGGAAGAGTGAGGTTGTAGGCCCATTGCATGACAGCAATGCACGGGTTTGTACCAACAGTTCTCAAACGGCGTGCTGTATATTCCTCGAGAGTAGACATCCCTTGCGCCCATGTAGCCTGAGATGTCTTGACGCCGCGGATAAAGTCGTAGATGGTTTCAGCAAACCGATCACGTGCTTCTGCAATGCTTGTTAGCTAATATCTGCCTAGCAAACTTTGGATAGACGTACCTCTCGACTGGCCCTTCTGCATTGCTCTTCCTATGTTGACCCATGGACCGCAGTTATGCAACCGTCCCGGTGCCGGAACTTCGCCAGAGAGTTCTGGCTGCAAGCAATGTCGGATGAAATTAATTGTGTCGTCACAGTAAGCTTCGGTCTTGTCACGATCATCTGTCAGAGTACCGCAATCGATCTCGTCATCCCAGAAAAAGAACTACAGTTTACGTTAGTCGACAATCGCGATAAGGAATTGGGCCAAGTTACCCAGGCCACAAGCTCTCCTAGAATGACAAACTTCTCTGGTTCCACATGTGTCCAAAAGTATCCCGCGCAGAGTCCGTTGTCTACCCGGCGTTGCTTCTTCCTTTGGCTCTCGGTACTGATGAACGTTTGGAAATATCCCTCTAGATGCTGTCTCAGCACCAGAACATTCGGGTGCACTTTAGCTGCCCAGTCCGTGTATATGTAATGCACATCCGGAACATGGATTTCTTGATCGCGAAGACGAGCAATAATCCTGGTGCGATGGTCTCCGGGCTTGGTCGGAGCTTCCTTAACCGCGGAGGAGGCGAGCTGTTTGGAGCTGTCCGTGAACTCGGGCATGTAAGAAGATCTCGATCTCGATCGCTGGAGTGGGTAAGTGTGATGATGCTGAAGAAGGAAACAACAAACGATTGAACAAGACTTACGCGTCTAAAGTACGATCTAGGAAGCGACGTCCAAGCGCTAAGAATACTAAGAATCGCCATAACGACTCAATAAGAGACAAAAACCAAGTATGTTGTTCAAGACAATCGCGGCCTCAGTAATATGGTAACGGAACAGAGGTCTTTGTATACTCTCATACCACGCCGTTCACATGCTGGCCCCTCGGTAGTCACTTCCCCGTCGCCTGGGGTCTCGAGGCGCCCTACCATTCACATAAAGCGCTCTTTCACTGCACCTCCGGCAAACGTGATCCACCCCCGAAGAGCCCCCAGAACCAATCGCAACATCTCAAGCTGGATTGAATTGACGTAAGCGAGGCGTTTGGGCACAGTCCACATGTGTGCTATGTAAGGAGCTATGTAAGGGTAATGCGTTGTTACACGGACTCGGCTGTCACTGTACGCCACGTTTCCGCAGTTGTGAGACACGAGAGCGTCCAGCTCCGAATCACGATATGCCACTGGGGCAGATGAGACGGCCACCGATCGTCTGAACCCGCGCAGGGTCATCAGCTTGAGGTTAAGTCCGGAACTACATCTCAGCCACCACTGAAATACACTTGCTGACTGCCAGTCCTTTTGCTCAAAATCATTGCGCATTGGCTTGTCGATTACATCACGAGCTGATAGGTTTTGCGCCACTTTCCTGCGACTGAGCCACTCTCAGGCAGCTCTCAGGATACGAATAATGGCACCGTATAGTATCGCTGTATGCACCACATCCTGTCATACTATAGTGGCGTTGCCCCCAATGAGTGCCTGCTGAGTCATATGTTTAGGCCTTCCAAGACACGGACCCATGGCTTCACATCCGCAGCGCAGGGGCCGAATGCTGAGTACAGGTAAATTACGTAGAATCTAAAGAACTACCCTGCAACTCGAAGCACGGAATAAGAGATACGCCAAGTCATACTGCCGATCTAAGGACCTGCGCACGCACTACTGCGTCCGTAGCAATGCAGCAAAATGTGCCGAGTATCTTGAAGTGTTATCGGCATACAGCTCGTTTGGATGCAGCTCGTTGACCCTTACATAGAGGCCGCATGTCCGATAAGATAACCGAGCGTGCCGAGCCACAATCGGCTTCCCGGGTCTACAATGCCACCCAGTCACAGGCGTAGTGGCGCTTTGGGAAGTAAGACTACTGGACAATGCAGTTATGGCACATAATCACAGCACGGCGATATACAAGCGGTGTGCACTACGATACCCATCACGCGCTATCAGAATACAAACGTGTAGTGCATGAAGGTATATTGGAAGGGTTGGAGGATCATGTTACCGTACGGTCGTCAGACATTGGATTGTGTGCAGTCGAATGGGACAGGTGGAGCGAGGCGGCAGGGAGCCATCTACTCAAATATCTAGAGAGGACAAATAGAAACTTTTAGGATATCATGCGTCTATCTGAGACATATCTTCCGATGATCAACCAAGCATGGCTCAACACCATTCGCCATAAACCTTTACGCCCAAAACCCAGTAAGCCGGGTGACCCGATGGCTTTCACCACCACATCAGATCATCCGAGTCCGCCTGACCAAAAGTCTGCATGCCCCCAACTACTTTGGCTCAGTGGCAGCCACAACAGCATCCTACGTCCTCTTCTTCGCATTGACGTTCTTGCCTGCGCCTACCTTGACTCTGCCACCGGCTCTGCCCCGATCGCCTGTCAGGATGCCCGGCAGATAGTTGTCATCCATGAGGTCCCTCGTCCTGGTCCTCTTGTCCTCTTCAGCGCGCTTAGTGTATTCCTTCTGGTCTTCAGCAAGGATGAGGTCTCGACCCCAGCCGCCTTTGCCTCCTCCCTGACCATGACTCCACTTTGTGTTTGCAGTACCGGCGATGGGCTTGGGGATGCTGTATTTATCGCCACGCTTGTTGTACTGGTAGTTCTTGGCTAAGTGGATCTTGAACTCTCCAGCGGCGTTTGTAGAGCAGGAAACCCTCTGTAGGGTTGCTTGACCACAGCGGGGGCAGAACTGCTTGTCCATTTGCTTGACGATGTTGAAACAGGCGTGGCACCGGAGAACCTTGGTGTTGACGTTCTTGATGCGTTGCATGTTTGTGGAGAGAAGTTGTAGATTCATCTGGAGCAATACGTTTTGCATCGCAAAATCGATCGTCATGGTTGCTACGTCCAGCTGGCGATTGGCTGTTGTGTGAATTTGCGGTTGGATGGCTCCGTCCTTGGCTTGGTGTTCTGTAAGGTTCTGTGGAGTAATCCAGTCGCCATCAGAGTCAGACTCCGCAGCTGAATCGTCAGTCGTAGGGGGCGTAGGTTGTTGAGTGGCGTGATGGGATACCGAGAGGTCCTCCAGTTCCTGCGCCAGTTTTGATTCGTCAGAGCTGACTTGCTGGGTTTGTAGACCCTGCTGGCTGGAGGTCTCAGGCGCGAGTGAGAGCTCTGCCTTCTGCTCGATGTGGATGTTAGTGGTGGGCACCTCGACCGCCGCCGATTGGTCGATTGGCCCCTCCTCGCCAGCCTGTTCTTGAAGCTGTTCTTGAACTTGCTCTTGAACCTGCTCTTCGATCTTTTCCTCCGCCTGCTCTACAGCTTGAGACTCCAGCTCTCCTCTGCCCTGTTTCTCAAGTTGCTCGCGAATCTGGTCATGCACCTGCTCGTGAACCTGATCCTGAACCTGTGCAACAACCTGCTCATGTACTTGCTCCTCGACCTGCTCCTGAGTGACAGCTATTCCACCTTCTGCTTCGTCTGTTTCGGCTTGGGCGGTTTGCTCCTCCGATTCATTGGCTTGTTCCAGGCTGCTGTCTAACTCCGCTGCGGGCTTGAAGTTGAACTTAGTAGATTTGGGCGCTCTGGCCTTCGCCGCCCGCTTGCCTGTAGGCTGCTCCCAGCCTTCATCAATATCCTCTGGTTCGACAGATCCGGAATCGATCTGTACGCCTTCCGTCGCATCTTCAGCGGTATCTTCGGTAGTCTTGTTGGCTGCCTTCCGCCTGTTCTTGCGCTTCTTTGCTGAGGTGGAAAGGCCCCCACTCTGCGATTTCTCCTCGTTCGACTGCTCAATCTCTCCAGGCCTCCTCTTTATTTCTGCTTTGGGTATTTCTCTCAGGCCCCAGTCGCCACCGTTCCTCTCACAGTGCACTTCGTAAGCCAGGGCTAGGATACCCAAATCCTGCCTACTGAGTACCGCATGATCACCTGTCTTCTTGCTAAACGCAATGACTGCATCGTAGCTTGCCGGCTGAGGATTCCGTATCTTCAGAAATGGGATCAATGTTGTCTGTACACGTGACCGTGTGGCTTCATCGCGAATTTCGGAGAGAATAGCAGGAGTAGTCCATAGTTCTTCCGCGGCGTTGATGATAGTAGAGATCGATACTGTGTTCTTGATCAATGGGCCCGTATCCAAAATAAGCGAGTGAATGGGCTTTTGCTGGGTCGCAGTGGGTGTTGCCATTGCGCGGTAGACCGGCAGTAGTCGCAGTCCGGTAAACAGGAAGTTTCAGTTTGTTGTACGTGGAAAGTTGAGATCCTGATATTAAGTTCGGAACTTTACGAGGTTTGGATCGTCAATATGACTAGGGCGTGCCGCTGGTGTGGTAGAAGATTTCGCGATGGTGGCGGTGGGGCCCGACTTTTTTGGTGTGAGACCCTCACGAATTTTGATTGGCCGGATCGCGCTGGTGGCAGCAATGGGAGCCTCGTGCTGGAAGTAGATGAGTCGACGCTGGTTCAACATATATTGAGTCGAACTTTTTTTGTAACACTGAGAGACGGCCAAGATTGTATTCCATAGCCCTTGATATTGTTTTTAGTATCGTTGGTAAAGTCGAGAGTCTCGATAGAGTGAATCCTCCAAACGCCGCCCAATGCTAAGTCGCGAGTCTACCCCAACATCGCTTGTGGTATATCGTACACATACATCAATGACATGAATTCCATCCCAGGTTCGACTCATCGTCGTGATGGTCGCCTTACAGACACTACGCGATAGGTTTGCTTCTCTCGTCCTCTGGCATACGCATATACGCATCGATAGCCGCACTGAAAACTGCGAAGCCTGCGCAGCCTACGGCCACGGCTTGCGGCCCAGCATTTCTTGCCAATATACCTCCAGTCAAGCAGCCCCCCGCCACTCCGTTGTACAGATCGTTCTTGGCTCGGAGCCCCTCGATTGCGCACTCGGTGCCTGAGAAAATAGCACCAACTTTGGCGAAGTTGCGTCCGCTAGAAATTGAGGATCGGTACATGTCGCGCAGGCCGGCCCGTAGTTGCTGGCGTAGGGGAAGGTCGGTAAGCGGTACGGTGCCGGTAGCAGTGGGGTTTGGAAGGGTAGCAGTCGCAGAGGCCGAGGGT